TTACTACTATTATTTTATTACTACTATTATTCCATAACTTTGCATCACATTTAGATTCATAAGGAAACAAAATTATAAATACACATTCCCTTTTTCATTGTCTGTATGTTTTTACTTTTAACTTCTTACCTTAAGACAACTAAGTACTACCTAAATATTCCGTTGAATTTACAGGGTATACAGAACTTTGCTACCTATGTTTAGACATGCGAACAGTTAGACTACCCAATACTTAAACTTCCAACACAAAAACCATTGAGCATTCCCTAATTAAACAGGCAGAAGAGGTTATTTTGCCGCCAGGTACATACTGCAGCGTTGTCTTCTGTTCTTTATCTTGCCTAGAACCGTCTCTTCTTTTCTTTGTAAAAATAAGAAATGAATCATGTATCTTTTCTTTCTTGCTATCATCCTGTTCTTTCTTGGAAATCTCACGGGTTAACTGATATAGCGCAGGCTCCTCCTCATTCTCGAGTTCCGCGTCGGGGTTTTGAAGTTTCTTGATGATGTTTTTACAGGCTTCCTCCACTGCCAGTCGCACCTCATTAATCAGGAATTCTTTGAACTGTTCCAGAGTTAACTGTCCCACTTCGGTATTTTGTAAGTCTATCGCTATTATTTCCTCTGCTGGGGTTTCTTCGTTTTCCCCTACCATCGCCATTTTAGTTTCTTTTCCTCCTCTCCTTTTCGCAGCTGCAAATTGTTTCCAGAGTTGGAGATATTCTTAAAGGGTTATTCCATGAAGGTCTTCAACAGATAATAAGAGGACACAAACGGACAAACTCCTTTACCTTTGTTGCAAATCAAACTTGGAAAACAAAGTCTAAAAAGGGAGGTTGCAGCTAATGCAGGGCATGGAACCATGCCTGCTCCTCCTCTTCCTCCTGCATCAGGATGGAACGATCTCTCCCCCGCTAACTGCTGCTGTGGGGGGGACCGCACAAGTCTCCTGCACCTGGCCTCCCTCCACAAGATCCAGGAGGAGCCCAACATGACACAAAGTTGGGGGGGTCTCCAAAAGAAGCAAGAAGGGCGGGGGAACTCGGGAGGAGCCTGAGAATCACCCTAGACGTTGTCAGCTATGCTGCCATGCTGTTTATGGGCAGGAGTGCATTTGCTTGACCCGTGTACCAACTGCTGCTGCATTCCTTTGTTCCTTATTCTCTCTGACCTTGTAGGCTGCCTGTGTAGTGTCTTCCAATTAATTACCCATGGGACTAGTTTCAATTCTAACAGCCTGGGGCCCCATTATCTTGCGCGCGGGAGTCAGGCCAATTGGCCTAGGGATGGGGGGAGCAATCCTGCAAGAGGGGGATGACGGGTTATGTGTCAAGAAATGTGTCAAGAAAGTTTAATGACACTGAGCATAACTGGTCTGTTTGGGAAAAAGAGGCGGGGGCGATCAGGCTGGCCCTTGCTACCTGGAGGCACTGGTTGGAAGGGGCACGAGTCCTGTTTGAAGTATGGACTGATCACAAGAACTTGGAAATGCTTAAAACACCCCGGAGCCTCAACGCCAAACAGCTTCAGTGGGCTGATTTCTTTTCCAAGTTCCAATTTACACTCCATCATTTCCCCGGTTCTGCAAACTCTCTCGCTGACGCACTATCCCACCTCCCACAGCACGACAGCCAACGGGAAGTGATTTTAGACTCTATGTTTACGCTCTCACAGCTCAGTGGGGCGGTGACTACGTGCAGCCGTTCCAACCCCTCCTCACCTACTACACAGCTGGGACCCAATCCCCGCCCCCCTGCCTCGCCAGGCGGGACACCTTGTAACAGTAGGTTTATCTCTGCCTTCTTGGAGGGCGACAAGGTGGAGACAAGGTGGAGGTGGAGTCCGAGGGAGGGCTGGACGTCAAACCAGATGGGTGTTGGTACCGCAGCAATAAACTTTTTGTCCCAAATTCCCTACGGGGGAAGTATCGAACGCGGTGCATGGCCATGTGTAAATCCAGACCGGGCAAACCCCCGGGATTGCTGCAACCTCTCCCGACTCCGAGTCGCCCTTGGGAGGTGATCTCCATGGATTTTATTATGGATTTGCCCCCGAGTATGTCTATGTCGGTCATTTGGGTTGTCGTGGATTTATTCTCTAAGCAAGTACATTTTGTCCCGTTTACCTCTCTACCCACGACAAAAGCACTGGCGAAAGCTTTCTTGCTCCACGTGGTCCGTCTGCACATGCTTCCAGCCAAAGTTATATCCGATAGGGGGCCCCAATTCGTTTCTCGATTCTGGGGGGAGCTTATGAAGCTTATGGAAGTCGAACAAGCATTAAGCAGTGCCTATCACCCCGAGACCGACGGACAAACAGAACGCGTGAATCAAACCTTGGAGCAATATCTGCGCTGCTTCACTAACTATCAACAAGATGATTGGGTGGATCTCCTACCCCTTGCCGAGTTTTGCTATAACAATACGTGTCACACGTCTACGGGGATGTCCCCTTTTAAGGCATTGTATGGATATGACAGCCCCCCAGTGCCTTTCCTGGAGGGCCCCACAGAGTTGAGGATGAAGGAAGCCGTGCAATGGTGTCAACACCTCAAGGACTCTTGGCCGCTCCTCTGCAAGACTTTGAATGCGGCCAAGGAGGCGTATAAGACTCAGGCTGACAAGAGAAGGGTGGAGGGTTGGGCTCTGCAGCCTGGGGATTCGGTGTATGTGTCTACTAAGAACATTAAAATGTTGCGACCGAGCCGTAAACTGGGGTGGAAATATATTGGACCATTTAAAGTAAAATGGATTAATGAAGTGGCTGTGGACTTGGATCTGCCCAAGAACTTGAGCAATATCCATTCTGTGTTTCATTTCAGCCTCCTGAAACGGGCTTCAGATTCAAGCCCATGGCGCCCATCTCAGCCAGTGGGCCCCCCCCCCATCATGATCGAGGGCGAGGAACATTTTGAAATCTCAAAGATCCTGGACTCTAAACTCAAACGTGGAAAACTGTTTTACTTGGTGGAGTGGTGTGGTTTTGGACCACAGCACCAAGAATGTGTGGAAGTAGGGGATATTCGGGCCCCTAGGCTGTTGCGCAAATTTTACCGGGAGTTTCCGGATAAACCGGGAGACCTCCCGGAATGTCCGGGAGGGGCTGACTTTTGGGTGGGCAGAATGTCAGCTATGCTGCCATGATGTTTATGGGCAGGAGGGCATTTGCTTGACCAGTGTACCAACTGCTGCTGCATTCCTTCGTTCCTTATTATCTCTGACCTCGTAGGCTGCCTGTGTAGTGTCTTCCCATCAATTACCCATGGGACTACTTTCAATTCCCAGCTTCAGCTCTAATGGCCTGGGGCCCCATTCTTCCACGCGCGGGAGTCAGGCCAATTGGCCTAGGGATGGGGGGGTGCATACAAATACCCTATATCCCATTATGCTTGTAGGAAGGTAGCCATTCCTAACAGTGACGATGTTACTCCCTCTATAGCTCTGGCAATAAAGTATAACCTTATGATAAGCGTGTACTCAATTGTTTGGCTGTGGAACCTTACAGACGCCACGCCATTTCCCCGGAAGTCCTAAACAATACAAAATCTTGATGTAGTTATTCTTGACGTTGTTTTGGCTGAGCTCCTGGAATGTTTACTCTTTGAGACGTCCTGACGGAGCCGTAAAGTGTGCAAAGCAAACTGAGGAGTCCTCGTTATATGAGTTCCCAAACAGTGTTTATCACTCCTTCATTTGAAAACATGTAGTTCCAAGGAATGTAAGAGATAAAGAGAACACACTTTCCTAGGATTAAACAGCGGTTTGGTTTCGTATGTCTTTTTCAACTCTATCTCTCAGTTGGTGTTTGTCACCAATCTCTTGCCGTCAGGAATGACAATAATGTGGAACACCGCAACCTCTCTCTAATGTCTTCCCAAAGATAGTAGGTTTGGAAGCACCCCACCAAAAACACTACTTGAGAACTGAAAATAAAGACACAATATTCAGAGCAACCATGAGGTCAACCCAATTGCCCAAGAACTGCCACCATATATTTGCAAACATTGCCACCTCTTGTTCTCATTGCAAGTTGGAATATTTTGCCTTTGGTGATGTCATCTAGTTCACTACGGGATACCTGATTGGTTATGATCACTAAGGGTGCTGCACCAAAACACTCGAGAGAATCTAGTTTCAGCGCTGCTCATTTGTGTCCTGACATTTTAACATGCTGTCTTCATTCATATTCCAATAAGCTACTCTGCAAGAAGGCACTGGACAAGGTTTGCCACTGTGATGTGCAACCATCTTTTTATTCAAATACATCATTTGTCACAGGAGTTAAAATAAAGACCACCAAAGTTATCTTTTCAGGGAATACAGCATACATCCACGCCTACTATGCTACCAACAAAGAATGCTATATTGGCACACCATCAGACTCAATGCCCATTTTGAAAACTGTAGATTTCTGTGCCAATGCTAGGATACCTTATCATTCACAAGATGA